ACCTCCTCAGACATAGAAAGATCCAGAACCTCCTACCTGTGCCTTGCCCACCTCCTCAGACACTGGCAGACTCAGAACCTCATACCTGTGCCTTGTCCACCTCCTCAGACACTGAAAGACCCAGAACCTCATACCTGTGCCTTACCCACTTCCTCAGACACTGGCAGACTCAGAACCTCATACCTGTGCCTTGCCCACCTCCTCAGACACAGAAAGATCCAGAACCTCATACCTGTTTCTTGCCCACCTCCTCAGACACTGGCAGACTCAGAACTTCATACCTGGGCCTTGCCCACCTCCTCAGACATGGAAAGATCCAGATCCTCATACCTGTTCCTTGCCCACCTCCTCAGACATTGGCAGACTCAGAACTTCATACCTGGGTCTTGCCCACCTCCTCAGACACGGAAAGATCCAGAACCTCACACCTGTGCTTTGCCTCCCTCCTTAGATACTAGCAGACCCAGAACCTCATACCTGTCCCTTACCCACTTCCTTAGATACTAGCAGACCCAGAACCTCATATCTGTGCCTTACCCACCTCCTCACATATGGAAAGATTCAGAACCTGTCCCTTACCTACTTCTTGAGACACAGGCAGACCCAGAACCTCATACCTGTGCCTTGCTGACCTCCTCAGACACTGGCAGACCCTCCTACCTATGCCTTGCCCACCTCCTCGAACATGGGAAGATCCAGAACCTCATACCTTGTATACCTCCTCAGACACTGGCAGACCCAGAACTCCATACCTGTGCCTTGCCTGTGCACCTCCTCAACATGGAAAGATCCAGAACCTCATACCTGTGCCTTGCCCACTTCCTCAGACACTGGTAGACCCAGAACCTCGTATCTATGCCTTGCCTACCTCCTCAGGCATGGAAAGATCCAGAACCTCATACCAGTATCGTTCCCACTTCCCCAGATAATGGCAGACTCAGAACCTTGTACCTGTGCCTTGCCCCCCCTCAGACATGGAAAGATCCAGAACCTCATACCTGTGCCTTGTCTACCTCCTCAGACAGGGAAAGATCCAGAACCTCATACCTGTGCCTTGCCCACCTCCTCAGACATGGAAAGATCTAGAACCTCATACCAGTTTCTTTCCTACTT